CCGCTCAACAAACTCCATAATGACCCTTGTCGCACTTTCCACAAGTGTAGCTCTGCTGACCACCGGTCCTAGAATCAGCGGTCTTAGACCACTTCGGTGTCAGCCGAGACTGTGTCAGGGCCTGCCGCTGCTCCCTCAACTGCAGCTTAATCTTCAACTCACGCCACCTAGCGGCCTCCTATAGCTCCAGCAGAGTATCACATCGTTGGGTAGACACAAAATGTCAGATTTCGATCTTGAGCATGCTCAGATAACAAGTCATCTGAGCCTGCTTGGAAGCAAACTTTAGGCAGAACATCGCCCTCTCTATGAACAAACAGGTGATCTCTGTTACCGACTCCCCATCCTGTCTCAAACTCAAAAACTCCTGAGCCAATCGTTCCCGCTCAACCCGTGGAATGTATCAGGTGCGGAACATATCCCTGAACTGATCCCAAGTAACAACAACTCTTTAATCATCAGTGTATGACCCTATCGTCAATCTCTACCAGTCCTTGGCCCCGTACCTAAGCAGGTTCACAGCACACCTGGCCTTCTGGTCAGTAGGACACAAGAAAGTAAAGAAACACCCCTGAAAATCAGAAACCCACCTCATATCCTTGATCGGGTCCTGAGTCCCATCAAAAGTAGGGGGCTTTGTTTTATCAAAGTCCCTACACTGGAAGCCCCGACTAGCTCCTCCTCCTCCTCCTACCGTTGTTACAACTGATACAGCTGCAGCGGCAGTTGTCTCCGCAAGGGTTGCGTATCTGTCATCAAAGTACTCAATCATAGCGGTCTTGATAGACCCAAACAACTTCGGAATCTGACCCCGAACAACCTCGACCACATCCTCGCGGATGATCTCCCTGACTCGATCCTTTGTCAACACTAGCCCCTCCTGGGCGATAACCTCAGGCACTGTTAGGGCCTCCTCATCGCCCTGCCCTGATCCTGATCCGGATCCAGACACAAAACGCCTCATAACCACGATGTTGAAAATATAACAAATAGATATCAGAAAATTTGCATAAATTACTGGGAACCAACTCCCGACTAAACCTTAGGGGTTGTGAATTCCTTGCTAAGCATATGGATCCTATGCTTTCAATAGTACGGGCCCATACTACCTTCCATACCTACCCATATTTTTCTCAAGTATCATCATAACACCCTAACAATATACATGCATATGGTGGTCACTCAACCTCACTCATCCATGAGACTTCCACCAACCCCTGCAGCACTAGTGTATGCTAACCATACATAACGCTGGACCATATAGACTTTTGAATATTGGATCCTACCCTAATCCCTAATAAATAAGAACAGAACATAATGCCAAATAAAACATTCTCGGGATATAAGATCTTAATTATGTACAGTCGTGATACATACACAAGTAACTACAGTAATGACGTCAATCTCATATAAGGAAAACCCTAGGCTAGTAGGCATCATATAATCAGACAATTCCATCATGCAATTTCCTAAAGATCCCTAGCCTAGTTCTAGCATATTGTTCTAACATATCGCATAATTAAGTAACTGTATGGTATTTTAGGCTCACTTACTGCCTTCGGCTGATCATACACCTTGCATCCTCCTTTACTTATTTTGAAAACCATTTAAAACAATTTTGAAAATCTTTCCTCGATTTGAGACTGGATTCACACAAATTTTCCTACAATTTGCTCAAACCAAGGCTCTGATACCAACTTGTAACATCTATAAAAATCATGCCAAATTTAAACGTTTTCAAAACACTTAAAACCATTTAACAATACATAGTTTGTTTTTAAAATAATAAATATCAGAGTATCCTAGTATCAAATCATAAAATCATAACAGCAGGAGGAGCGGTACGATCATGCCTTCGCCTTCCCACGATCACCAGAAGTACCTGAAACAACAAACTGAAACTGTAAGCCCGAAAGCTTAGTGAGCTACCCCCAAAATACCAACCTCATATAACCATAATTATATCATATCAACAAATACAAAACAACATGCATAATGAGTCTTCAGCCTGACTGGACCGCCTTGCAGGCCTTCAGTATATCTGGACCACTCTTCGTGCCTTCGGTACTTCTGGACCACCTCTCAGGGACTTCAGCCTATCGGGACCGCTCGTTGGGCCTTTGGTCTGACTACCATACCCTTTCGGGTTTGTAGTCTATCCGGTCCGCCCTAGGTATGTTGGCCTTCAGCACAAAGCAGGACCGTCTCAACCCATCCCAATTAAAAAAAACATGTGCACATAACTATCACACGCTGGCATACATATATAACAATGAAACTGATCTAACATATCATATAGCATGGCTACATCCTATAACCAGGACAGTGACCTAACCATGTCACTAAGCATAAACATAACCTCATCCTAACCACCAGGATGCAAACCAATCAACATATCATGCCATAACCGGATACAATCCATAAAGGGTCAGCCTTGGTGCCTTAGATCCTGTTGATATACTGAGGATAACTCGCCTCGCAAGTAGTGCTGATATATAGTAAATCTTTGATTGTTGTCTCTCCGGGAATCCCAAACTATTATACAATAAACACCAAGTTAATACCCAAAATAACCTTCTTGACCAAATGTCCACACCCTTCATTAAGTCCATTCTCTTTATTGGACCAAGGCCCAAATATCCAGTCCTTGACTTGAAAGTCCACATATATATCCCATTATCAGCCTAATTTACTAAATTGGGCCTAACTTCCTAATTGGGCCTCACCTCATGATCCATTATTATTACCGGGCCCAAAATATATTATTTACAAAGTCCAGTAAAGGCCTAATTCCATTTAGTCGATAATAAGCCCAAATTCCAAAGCCCATTCACAAATGCCCAACAGAGGACGTAAGTGGGGCGTACTCCTCTGGTACGTAGGGCATACTCATCCAGATGTTTACCACCATCAGGGTGGTTTGATTTACGTTGGGCATACACAACAGTTTGCCAAAACCTTATTAAGTGCTTAATGGCTTAAGCACTAAAGCCCAAACATCAGATCCAGAGACCTAACATGCCTAGGATCCACACTACTAGAAAAACAGCCTTTTACGACGCGCAATCAATGACACGCGCTGATAGAGAACACGCATTTGAGCGTGCCCTAAAAATTGATGTCAGTTTTCCAAAATATGAAGCATAGAGGGCACGGATTTTTGCGCGCCCTTAAATTAGTGTCTAATAAAAAATAAAAATAAAAAAAACACGGAGGGCATCTTAAATAAAATGTGTGTCGTCTAACCATGTCGCTTTATAAATTTTAATGAAACACGCGTTTCATCCGAGGGGGAAATGAAATCCAAAAATTAAAAAGCCCGCTTTGTTTCCACCGGCTGAAAACCCTAGCTCTTCCCCGCCGAAAACCCCATTTCTTTCTTTCTTCTCTCTTGATTCTCAAACCTCTATTCGCCTTCCAATATCTGCTGCTTCTTCGCCCCTTCTGAGTGTCTCCCACTGCCGTCGACTTCCAATGAAAGACGACCGTTCTTCCCTATTACCATCTATCTTCCAAATTACTACACTAACCTCACCGTCTTTGTTCTTTACTGTTCAGAGCCAAAACCCTTTCACCACCACCGCCCTATACGAAGCCTCCAGAAACGCAACCCCACTCCGTTATCGTCTACTTCTTCCCAACGCCCATTCATAAGTCCTAAATACATTCCACCGCTTACTGCTTCGTCTTCTACCTCAATCAAATTGAGAGCCACCGGTGTCATAGAAAGAGAATCCTTCACCGTCAGTGTTATCAAAATCAGAGCCGCCGGTGTTGTAGAAAGAGAATTCACCACCGCCAGGTCGCCACCTCTAAAGGTTTCTGGTTCGTCTCCATCGCCAATTCGGAATCGTGTTCTTAGGTCACTCGAAAAGTACTCATGGTCGGTGAAATCAAAATGTGAAATCATGTTCTTAGGTCACTGGAAAAGCACTTATGGTCGATAAAATCATCAATTACGTTATGTCGCTACAAGGTCAACTTGAGGTAAGTCAATAATTTCTAATTCTTGTAAATAAATCCACCGATTACAGTGGTTTTGATTTACGATACCACTGTTTCTTTCACCAGCAATTTCAGTTTCAAGCACCATCCCAGCTAATTCTTGGGACTCATTTTTGTCTGCTGACCCTCCTCCACTTTTTCTTGATCAGAGGCAGAGGCCTTCTCAGGAGTTGGACGCCTCAAATGAGAAACCAACATAATTCATAGGGCTCTCAAGACTGCAAATTTGCTCATCGACACTCAATGTAAAAACTATAAAGGCATTAATTACACTTTGACTTATTAGCTTCTTAACTGTTTCTCTGTTTTTTTAAATTTAATTTAACATTTTAATTTTAGGTTGTAAAGGTGGCGGATTTTGGGGTTGCCCGGTTTTGAGTCAAGGGGGAGTATGACAGCAGAGACTGGAACTTACAGATGGATGGCTCCTGAGGTTTCTATTTCTTCCTCTTTACATATAATATTTGAAGATATTTCCTTTTTCACTGATAAACCCTAACTAATTTGGGAATCATCCTCTAAACTCTAAATTTACCATGATGAATGGAGCTACTTATGTATTGTCGTGGTTTGCAGGTTATAAATCATCAACAATATGATGAAAAGGCGACATCGAAGTGGAAGCAAGATCAGAAAGACCTGGGAGTGAAAGGGACAGGGAAAAGGGTCGTGATAGAGAGTTAAAGATAAATAAAGAGAAAAAGAAAAATAAAGGGAATCTGAAGGAATTGGAATCTTGAATTCCATTTTTGTAGTTTCTTCTAGTGGAAACATAGATTATGAATATTGAACATAAGTTTTGGTTCGTGGATTCTGTGGGAATCTGAAGGAATTGGAATCTTGAATTCCATTTTGTTTTTTTGGTTGCTAAACTAAGGATTGTGATTGATTTCCTTCCCATTTTCTGCCAACCAAACAATTAACAGATTGCAATTCTTTCAGATTCCAATTGCTTTGACATATTCCATTCCTTCCAAATAGATTATGTGAATCAAATGGGCCTTTGTTTTCTTTGCAATATCAACACCATAGATCCCAAACACTATTATTTCTTCATTCTTATAACTAGAATAGGTGTTGTGGCTAAACCTTGTGCTGAGTTTGTTGCTGGAGTACTTGCAATATGGTTAAATGCAGGTGTAGCTGTTCCACTTGCACTCAGTTACCCTGAAGCTGAGTTGTTACATGTCATGACTGACTCGGTTTGCTCTCAAAACAACCTTAAACTTTTCTAGTTTCCTATGTTTTTTATTTGGAAGAAATTGCTTTGTATTTGGATGATATTGCTAAAATTTCTTTAATAGGAAGAAATGAAATTCAATAAAATGACTCTTTTCTCCTTATTCAATTAACATACCCTTTTTTTAATGTGGTTTATGTGGCCTTTGTAAGATACAATTTTATTCTCCTAATAATACAACATTGTTAATTTGAGTTTTGAAGGATGTGTCCATGATTTTGAGTACTGATGATCACAGGGAGCTTATGCAAAAAGTTGCAGCTAAAACTACAGCTCAATTTTCTCTAATACCAAATGTTCCTACTATGACTTCACAAGCAGTAGATAATGGTGTTGTACATCAAAAAGAGAATGTATTTGCAAATAACATAAAAGGTATATATCCATGTTCTTTAATATATATATATATATATATATATATATATATATATATATATATATATATATAATTTCATATACAATAATAATATAAAATTGTCTTATTCATACAGACGATGATCCAACATTGATTTTGTATACTAGTGGAACAACTGGGAAACCTAAAGGAGTTGTTCATACACACAGTAGCATTTTAGCACAGGTAATTTAAAGTTTTGGAAGAAAATACTTTAAAAACCAAACTTGTGAAATATTCGTATATTTTTTAAGAAAAAACGTATCTGTGATCTTCTAATTGTTGTTTTCCTGCATAATTTGAGGTGAAAACATTATCAATAGCTTGGGAATACACATCCAGTGATCGTTTTCTACATTGTCTTCGATTACACCATATCCTTAAATAAACATTAAAATAATTACTTTCAATTCCTTTTTTTTTCTAAAAATGTTTCACATTTCTTGTTGATTCTTAATTTAATCTGTACATGTTCATGGCCTCCTCAATGCACTATTTGCTCCTTTTTATGCGGGGTCCATGGTAAGCAATTACTTTTATGTTATTTGGAATTAAGTAAAATTCTTTATCATCACCAATTGTAAGTTTATATATATTTTCTATGTTGTTTTAGGTTGAATTTATGTCAAAGTTTAGTGTGATTGGTATTTGGAAAATATGGCGTGAATCTTACCCAAAAGATGTCTTTAGTGGTCGTGGCCAAGAGCATCAAGCAGATTCATCTAAGGATCTGTCTTCTAAAATAAGGTTAGCACACTTTTCATCAGTAATGCCCTTTTTGTTGGTGAAATTACCCATCTGCCCTTTTGGATCAGCTTGGAACACGCGTCCACCGCTTGTCTCAGTTACGTGATTCTCAACTGTGGAATTTAGTTTTTTCATTAAACTCTTATTGTATATTGGCTGTAAATTAGCTGTAAAGTTAATGCTTATCTTTTCTTGTTATGTATTTTCCTTGTTTAATGAGGTAGGCTCTAGTATAAATTTAGGCTCTCTCTTGTATCATTCATCCCAAGAAACACATTCACCATTTCCTTCTCTCCCCAATGGTGGATCTGTTTGAACATATTTTTTTTAATGCTATTAAAGTTAAATTGTAGGGATAAATGCAAATCACAACAATGTAATGGTTTGGTTGGTTTTCTTTTCTGATTTGGTGCCAGGTGAATCTAATGAATCAAGATCTGCCTTGAAGGTAGGAGTTGTGTTGTCAGGAGGACAAGCACCAGGAGGGCATAATGTTATATATCTGGGATTTTTGGTTAGGATTTTGAACTTCCATTTCCTATTGTTCATATTTTTCATACTTCATATGATAGATTGAAGGATTGACTAGTAAACATCAGCAATATTGGTGCCAGGTGAATCTAATTAGTAAAGAAAGTTGAAGGATTGACTAGTAAACATAAAAGTAGAATGAAAATGACAAGTGATCTTGTGTTGTGTTTACAGGGTTGATGAAAGCGAATAGCTGTCGAGTTAGAAGTGGAAAAGAAAGCTCAAGCCGAAAGAGATAAGATGCTGAAAATGCAAGTGTTGTATTGTTCATTTCAATTGTTAGTATGAAACATAGAATAGATTAGATGAATGCAAATTTATATATTGTAAGAAATAGAATTGTATGACATTAAAGTTTATGCCATGGAATGTATTTTTTTGTATATGGTATTTTATTTCTATTATGACACATTAAATGCAAATTTAATTTAAAAATTAATAAATATATAAATATATATTTTTTTAAATATTTAAATTTACAATACGCAAAAATGTGTGTCATCTTCATTTATGACATGGCCTTTCTTGACAGGGGCTTTCTTGATACGCATTGCGTGTCATTAACACGCACGTCGTAAGGTTACGACACGTGAATGCGTGTCGTCTTCCTTTATGACAGGGCCTTCCTTGATACGCATTGCGTGTCGTAAACGCGCGTCATAATTGCGCGTCTTTAATGAGCGTCGTAAATGCGCGTCGTCTCTCTTTATGACAGGGCCTTCCTTGACGCGCATTTGCGCGTCGTCTGAGCCTTTTACGACGCGCAATGAGCGTCGTAAAAGGCTGTTTTTCTAGTAGTGCCATTAATTCATGAACTTTATCACTTTGGACATCCATAAAGTTCTTAATGATTGGTCTTAATCCATTAAGACCTTATTTCTCCATGCATGGACACATACAGTTAATGGGATCTCCTTTTTATCACTCAATGTCCCTTCAAGAGTCTAGAAGGACAACCCTTATCATCCAAATCACAACATGCACCACCTTATGGCTTTTGGGACGATAAATGCTTCTAATAAAGTAAAATGCTGAGATCTATGCATATATGCATAAAGTTTGGAACTTTATACCTTCTGGAGCTTCTTGAGCACAAGCTAACTTCAGATCTATAAGCTTGATCTTCTTCTCTAACACTTTGATGCAATAACTTCCTCTTAAAGCACTCAAAAACACACCAAATAAGCTTAAACACACAAAGGAAAGGCTAGGGGTTGGGAAGGACGAATGTAATATGTGGAGGCTGGGGTAAGGGAGGTTTTGATGCTCATAATGTTACTTATATAGGCCCCAAACCCTAAATATCAGGGTTTCACCCTGACATTAGTACGCCCAGCGTATTAAGTTGGACCTTAGTATGCTTAGCGTAATCTTATGTACGCACAACATAATCCCTCTTGGCCTAAGTTTGCAAACTTGGCCCTTAAACTTATCTTGGCTTTTCACTTCCAACCCCATGGACTATAAATAACAAGGTAATGATAGAAGAGGGTTCGGGAATACCTGCCAAATATTAGGATGTTACAGATGCTTATAAGTTCAAGATCCTAATATTGAAATAGATAAATACACTAAGAAGTATCCCTACCGATGGCTATTGAAGTTGTGGTAGATGAACCTTCATGAGGGTTAGTGTACTCAAACTTGAATGATCTGATGTCTTCATGTAAAGAAAGGAAACTCGTGATCTTATCCTCAGTGTCCTTGTTAGGGGTATGATCTTTAACTCATATTCAGGATCCTTGATATTTTTGAAGCCTCGGGATCCTTAAATATATCCCATGATCCTGATTATTATCACTAATATTTCTTAACACTTATAATGTCAATATTCTTCTTTATTTTTCTCATATGTTCATAATTGGTCCACACAATACTCATTCTCAATGGAGAGTCACTTCAACCAAGCTTAAGAACCGGAGTGCCAAGTCAAACAATGTGCAAATACTTGTTCAAGGAGGATCTCAGAAATCTTATACTTCTTGTTGATTAGCTTAGACTATAAATAACACATGTAACTCACACACTACACACACGATTAGCTCTACCATTACACTTATACTCGTATTACCTTCCTCATCTTTGTAATCTCTGATTAAAATCAATAAAACATATCAAGACAGGTGATCATTATCACCTTCCAAGGTTTTATGTTGGAGATCCTATAAAGGATCAAGGGTTTCCTTATAACTCACTTGTCCACTTAGTCGATTTTTGACCAAAACAATTTGGCGCCCACCGTAGGTCGTGGTGTTCATAGTCATTGGAGAATCCTGTCTACCAAATCGACCTTATCCTCTTCCTCTATTCCTTCCATTTCCTATAAAAATATTCATCCACCCCCAGGTTCACCCGTAAATCCAAGTTCTTTTTTTTTAACGACATCAAAAAGGGCAGGCGACTATGTAAATAAAAGTTCTTAATGCAAATCAAATTAAGTTGAAACTCAAATTGTGAGAAGCATGAGAGAAATGTTGGTGGTGTGAGTCAAATTTTGAAGAAAGAGAGGAAAAACTCTAATTAAGCACATAAGTACCATCACACTAACGAAGAAAGATTTTCTTAAGGATGGATATGGAAGTAGTCATGACAAACCATTATACTTATAATGATATTTTGAAGCACATCCTATTGTGTGTTTTACACACACACACACGCATATATATATATATATATATATATAATAATAATAATAATAATAATAATAATAACTTATGTTTATGTATAAAGTTTTATACATTTGGCACATCTGTTGGTACATGTTCTACACATGATACATTTTAGTACATCTTTCAATACGTATGCCACTAAATGGACATAGTATGGTTTATCATGTTCATGTATCCTTTATACTCCAATAAGCCTTATTACAAATGTCAAGAAATTTCATTGAGGAAAATATAAGGTAACATAGTCTTGAAACTATTAATAGACTTTATTACAAAGGTTGAGAAACGTCATCACATACTCATTTCAATTGAGGCTAACTACATTAACCAGAACAACTAGTACATAATTTCTATTTAGATTTATCCAATTCATTTATAACACCCTAATTTTCCTTATCAATTTTTATCTTGTAAACATTCATGTCATTTTCTAATTCAACAATCTTAGATCAAATTTTCCTTCTGCCATTTCATCTTTCTTTGTTATAATCAACTTTTATTGAGATTTGAAACAATTTACACAGGTAAAGATTGGAGAATCAAAAAATCACGCCTTTCATTAATCATTATACATGTATATATACATCAATCCTTATCAGAAACCAAAACAAACTAATAAGATAAGACTAATATATGCATTCAAAATACATTTATCTATGAGATAATACCCAATTTGGGATAACTCCAATACCCCCTCAAGTTGGAGCATGGGTATCCAAAATGCTCAACTTCTCAACAATTCGATCAAACTAAATTTTTCCAAGAGCCATGGTTAGAAAATCCACCAGTTGTTTAGAAGTATGCACATACGTAGGAGACACCCGCCCATCAGTAATTGCATCACGCACAAAATGGCAATCGACTTCAATATGTTTTGTTCATTCATGGAAGACAGGATTGTCTGCCAAATGTAGGGCAGCTTGATTATCACAATGAAGCTTAATAGGTTGGGAATGACGAACTCCCAAACTTAAGAGAAGATTTTTAAGGCATTTAAATTCGCATGTAATGGCTGCCATAGATCGATACTTGGCTTCTACGGAAGAGCGTGAGATAGTATATTGCTTCTTAGTTTCCCATGTTATAGGCGAGTGTGCAAAATAGACAATCCATCTAGTCAAAGAACGATAAGTAGTTGGACAAATAGTCCAATCAAAGTCACACCATCCTTCTAAAACTAGTTTACTGTCAGAACTAAAGAGTATGCAACGGCATGGAGTTCCTTTAAGATACTTACCCACATGAAGTGCCCCCACCCGATGTTCTGTACGGGGAGCTTGCATAAACTGGGAAAGTACATGGATTGAATAACCAAGATCAGGACATGAAACGGCCAAATAAATATGTCATCCCACCAACCGGCGATAGGCTTCTAGATCAGATAAGAATGCTACAAAAGAAAGCCCCAATTTGTGATTTTGTTCCATCGGGAATCCATCCGGTTTGGCACCCAAGACACCAGCTGGTGTCAATTTTTAATGCACTATTTTTTTATATATAATTCCTAATTTATCGCATCTAAACCACACCTTACAGGCAGTGAACCTGATCGAGTATAGTATAGCTTTGATAAGCAAGGGTGTCGAACACATGCGGAAGGGTAGTAAATTAATTTAAAATATTTGATTATAGGTTACACAAGACACATAAAAGCAGTAAAGAAATAGTTTATTAAATATCAAATGAACAACTAATTAACAAATCTCGATAAACTAACAGGGAAACAAATCTCTTCAGGTACTTTGGTTTAGATAAATTACACCTTAAAAGCATAGACAATTGCATACACAAATTCATTTATTCATGTTCACTGATTCCTAAATTGATTAGATTCGCGTTCACTGTTACTAATCCTTTGGCAAACAAGTTAATTCAAACAGTGATCAGTTGATTAAACTAACATGCT